ACACTGTGGAAAAGTTTAAGAACCCCTTGGCTTTACTGCAGCCTCTGTTTTAGTGATATACAGATTTACCTGCTATCCAAGTCAATCTCTCTATTTTGGCAGCCCAAAAGCCCCAGCAAGGAAGCTTTGTTGGCTCCAGAAACTGCATTCCTTTCACCACAGTGTTTCTAGTTCAATTACCAAATACACTATGCTTCTGGCAACACAAATAGCTTTTCAACATTTAATGTATTTGGCTTCCAAGCCCCCACTTGCAGGGTTTTTTTTTCTTGGGGGGGGGGGGGCGCAAAGGAGAGTGAGAGTGGGGGCAGGGGGAAGGGTGGCTAAAAGCAGTGTCAGATCCGATCAGCAGGACTGGCAGAAGCCATTTGTCAGAAGCAGAAACTTCAAAAAAAAATATGGCTTTCAGGTCTGTAGGCACAGTGGGGAATGTATTAGCAACTTTCAACTCTGCTGGCTCACCTGTGCTTTTATTCTCACCATTCCTTCAGCTTCAGTCATTCTGGAGACCAGTTCCCCATGGATCCAAAATACTCTGTCAGCTACTATTAGACAACTTTTTATTTAGTAGACTATAATAATATAGCCCCCATGTTGCAAACTGAGAAACCTGCTTAGTATGAAAAGATGCTGATAAGACAGTGAACCATCCCTACCTGAAAGTAAAATGATGATTTACCTCCTTAAGAATAATCTAATATGGTGGCTTAATTCATTTCCATGGAAACCTAATGTTCAACTCCCATTGCCTGACCACACACACACACACACACACACACTTAATTCACATCCAAAGGAACTAGACCTTAAAAAAAAAAAAATAAAAAAAATCAGCATTTTCTTCTTTATGCACCTATTTTTCAGGGGATTTTGAAAAAACACTTAAAATCCGATTTGGAAGATAACATTCCTATTCGCTTTTACATGATACAAGCAGCAGCCTTTACAATAACTAACCATGCTTACTAGGAAAATGACCAATACATTAAATAGTTAAAAATATTAGATACCATGGTCACAAGGTTTCCAAACCACTGATGAGCAAGTTCATGTCCCACAACCAGAGCAACCCATTGGCGGGATGAAGAGCAGGAATTTTTGGGATCAATAAGAAGCGCAGTCTCCCTGTATTTAAGGAATAAAGAGAGACAAATTGAGCAGTACATGTTTGGGGGAGCGAGAATATGATTAAGACAGACTGAATCATCTAAGCAAACTACAAATATCATCACTTCAACTGAAAAAAACAAAGCTACTTTAGCTTGCACACAAAACAGTTGTTTTAAAATTTTATGGCTTTTGGGTTGCTTTGGAGTAATACTTCAACACATGCAAGAAGTCAAGCACAAAAACCCCAGACGGGAGTAAGAAACTTTATCCAAAATGAAATAGTCTAACTATATGACTAGACAGTGAGGGAAAGCGGTCTCACCTTGACTTCAATTTACTTCCACACTGCATGGAGTATGCAAAGCAAGCCATCTTTCCCTCCCTCATCCCAGAAGAAGTCAGCTTTTCCATGTGCACAGTTAATTAGCTGCATTGCAATTTCCACCTCAGATGCATGTTTCTTTCCACAGAAACATCTGGACACACACATCCACACACACAGCTTTCATTAAAACTCTCTAAATTGATTACAAGTCAAAGGTCATTTACAAACACCATGTCATAACCAGAGCTGGGGGGAGGGAGGGTGTCAAGCAGGAGGGATTTCAGAACTCCTGCAACTGGGAGGGAACTCTCTCAAATTAAATACAGATTGAAACTGCAGAATATTTCAATCTCCAGTCAATAAAACAATGTGCAAGCAGTGGGCCCAACTGAATATAAGGAAACAGTGCAGTGCTGGAATTGTCTTTCAAAATTTGACTCACCAAGGGCAAATAATTTTTTCCACAGAGAGTAAAATACCTGCTCTCATCAGCATGGCAGTGAGCAGGCAAGTAACATTTTTGTTTGGGCTGGTAAATCCTTATGACAATTTTGTAAGGCCAAATTAAAGGGGTAAATTTAAAACCAGAACACCTCCCCACCCCCTGAAATCTCTATTCAAAAGAAAAATCAAAATGAGAACAAATAAAGAGTCCCATGTTGTAGAAGACTGAAAAGGAAAAATCTTCTAACAACCGAAAAGATACAAGTATGAAGGAAAAGGTGTGAAATTTTGTTCATTTGATCAAGCAACTGAAAATGGAAGGCAAAATAAAGTTTTAAAATTATTCAACCCATATTTGTACTGTGCTTGCAGAAATTTACCAACTTTGCTAGTAGATTTAAAATAAGAAACATTTCTCCAAGCCATGTAACTAACTACGGAATTGTTGGAGGAAGAGAGAGGGAGGGGGGAGGATTCAGCCAGGAAAACTCTTTCTTTTGCAGAAATTACTGTGTTGTCAGAGGCTTTAAAATCTTATACTGCTGGACAAAAAAAATCTTAACAGATCATTCTTGCCCTCCTCAGATTTATATAATAATATAAAAGTAAAGTTACCCAAGACTGAAATTAGAGTTGGAGGAAGTTACTTAAGCTTACTTTGGGCAAAGCCCAAACATTACAACTCCCTAAAATTAATCCAATTACCTCCAAAATTAGCGAACAAAGGGGGAAAGACAGTATTTTAACAGCATACCTATAAGTAACAAGGCCCCAGTTCTCCATGGCACCTTTATAAAATAAATACAAAGGTTTATTGATATTGATACACACCTTCCTAAACATTTAAAATTCAAATAAATCAATACAGTTCATCAATAAAGTGAGTTACTTTACCAGCAGCAAAGTCTGCAATAGCTATGAGATCAATTTTAGGAAGAGGGTAAGGAACACTGAAGTAGTCCTTATAAAAAGGCAGAGTTTTAGCAGCAACCTATAAAAAAAAAAAAAAATGAAATGAGAAACTCGGTAAATACTGAGTTAACTTGTAGTAATAGGCCAAAACTGTTTTTTTTCCCCCCAATGTGGCTGGAAGAACCCTAGAAAACAGCACATGCTGGCTTCTTTCCCCGAAGTCTCATTTCCAAAAGGCAGGACTGCTATGAAGCCTTAACGCCAACATTTGGAAGTATCTAATCCTGCCCCAGCTCCTACATTTGAATTGATATTTGCTACCTTACACTATGTATGAGATGATAATGCCAAATCACCTCAAAACTGTTTAGAAGTATATTTGTCATCACTTAAGTTTAATTTTTCTGTGATTAATATTTCAGCTTAATAAGTTTCTCCAAGTCACTAGGCAAAACCAAACTAACACAATAACAAAGTCTGAAACAACTCCATCTAGCCTTCTCTACCAAATTTAGGGGTTGTACAAAAAAAAATAATAATAATATCAGTGTGAATGCATTTACCTCTAATGCAAACTTTCCTTGTTCTGCTTTGCTAACAGGAGTGTAAACACGTACTAAGACACCATCAAGCGACCTGGTCTCTACAAAGTCATATTCTCCCACCACGAATGCTACTAGGTAGGTTGACATTATAGGGGTTTGAGCAAACTTCACTTCCACCAGATTTTCATCATCAGGGTACGGCTTCCGGTCTATGACGTTCTTTTCAACAAAATAAAAGGAAAACTAGTTCAAGTTTCACAGGAAGTGACACTGGATTACATAAATTTGACTAGTTATTGCTCCATTATTAGGTATATTTAAAGACAAACAAGCAAACAAACAAAAATACCTATCGATACAATCACCATGCAATTTTAAAAAGTCACCATATTTTCAGTTCCCCTTCAGCGAACAAGCCAGGGGGGAAAAAAACATGTTTGTTTTTTTGTTTTTTTAAAGTTTATCCTATACATCAGGGGTGTGCTATCTTTTCCAGCTGTGGGCCAGAATGACCCACCTGAGGTCAAATGTGGGTAAGCACTAGGAAGACCCTCACCTCCCCCCCCCTCCACAGCTGGTGCTTCTCTCCATGATAGCCTGAGGAAAGTGACTGCCGTTGAAGGCCCTCCCCACTCCCCCCATACTGCTGAATGCCAACAAAGGCCCACATCTGAAAGCTGGATCAAATCTTTGCGTGGGCCACATCTGGCCTGCAGGGCATAGGTCGTGGACCCCTGCTATACATCATACATCCTATTATAGCACATAGGTTCTCTTGAGGAGCTTTTCCTATTAGTTCCTAAACTTCCAGTTTCCCGAGTGGTGACAGAATCCACACCTGGAGTCAATGTCCTCCCACCCCAAAAAGTATTCAAAGAATAATTTTTTCCTCAAATTTTTAATTAAGGACCATCAGATCAGTGGGCAAAACTGTATTATGTACTAGGCAACTTGGTGTCACATGAACAGAAGAAACCAGTCTGGATTGAAAGTGATCTTTACTGGTGACTGGAGTTAAAATTATCCCAGTGACAGGAGTCTGTAGGATAAAAGGGAATTGTGATTTCTCAGCTAGTACACTTTAGTAGCGACAGACATTACGGGCAATCAGCTTTTTTTGGCCTGTGTAACCGATAATGTTGCCAATAAATGCCGTATGCATGTGCGCAGCCGCAGCGTGAACACAGCCAGGAATACAGCCCAGCAGCTTGGAGAGCCTCCTGTTGGTAAGTCTGTGGGGGGGAAGGGGTGTGAGGGAGGTGCAGATTGGGCCCCCCCACCACAGTGAGGGAGTGGGGCTGGGGCAGGCACCACCCAGCCCCCACACTCTTTCCTCTCCACAGACTTACCGGCTGGATGGTTGCATTTTGGCAATCAAACTGGTATCAGCCAATATGGCTGGTTAATAATCAGCCATCAGTATCAGCCATAAAAAATTTTTTATCTGTGCACCCCTAGACTTTAGGAATATTCACATCATAATAAAAATAGGGATGCTGAAGATACCATTTTGTATGTGCTACCACTCATTTATGTTATATCTAAACTCCACTGAAAAGCTCTCCAAGGCAGAGTGTGTTTACACAGATACATAAACAAGCAAAGAGTTCATTTTTTACAATCACTCCTTTAATCAAGTGGCACATCATGTCTTATGCAAACTCATTTTAATAGACAATGCTCTGTGCCACCCATGTTTAGTTCCCATACTACCATCTCCTCTTAACATATCTGTCTCAAAAAAATGTCATCAAGTACAGCTGTTTAGCAATGACTAACAGCACATGTTCCTATGAATGGAAATGTCAGCAAAACCTGTCACTAGCCAACAAAACTGCTACATACAAAATTTAGTTCATTTACTTGCGCATTAAGCACTTACCATATTTGACAAAGCTACTCTGTCTTTAGGGACGACCAATGAGATATCAAATGTCGCCTTAATAGCAGGTTCATCCCAGCAAGGAAAGGCTCTGCGAGCATCAGTAGCCTGAAGGACATAAGAGCATTAACTAAACAAATCTTTCACAGAGAGATTACGACAATAAAGCATGCACAAATGCTGTATGTTCTACATATAAGTAGTCAGGCAAATTATGGCTGGTCACTGCTGTAAGATGTTTCCCTGTTCATCTCCCTTGACTCTTGGGGATTAGCACACTTCACTCTCAGCTTTAACTGATTTCATTCTTGGGGTCAAAATGCAACTGAAAAATGCCCCTGGCTCTGCTATTTCACACCAAGATATACTCCATTGTATTCGATAAAAGGCAAAGTGTTCTATATTTCTGTTTATGTAACAGACTAAGTAGACTGTTAAAGCATAGTATAAAAATCTTTCCTAATGTCTAGTTATATAACCCTTGAGACAAAAAGCTGGCTCACACTGCAGAGGCCATTAGAATATTGGTAGCAAATAAGGGCATCCTACTAAAAGATTAACTTGTTTTGTGAAGGCAGTTTACACAGAAATATTTAGTCCAAATATGCTAGAGGAGCTGTTTTTAACACTGCAGCTGTTACACATATGCATATACTAGGTACTATACATAGGCAGGATCCTTGACTAAGGAATTTGCAACAGCCTGCATTTGTTGACCTTCAGGTCACAGTACAAAGGGTTTGTTTCTCTGTTTTTTGTTGTTTGGGGGTTTTTTGGGGGAGGGGAGGGCAAGGCAGGGGGCATAGAGGGAATGGTGTTTTTAAAACTACCAGCAGCCATTTTGCTTAGAGCTAGAAGCCAACCCCCCCCAACCCCCAATGGATCCTAGAAACCCAGCAACAAGTACAAAGAGATGAAACTAGGAAACTATAATCAAGTCTTTTCCTATGTTAGGGATAATACTTGCTGAAAGAAGAATATAGACCATACCTCAAACTGAGTGACAGCAGCATAACGTGTCTCTCCAGAAGGGGTGGTGTATTTACTTCGATAAAAACCTTTCATTTTATCATTTAGCTCTCCAACAAAGTCTATCTTTAATGTCCCGGTCCCTGTGGCAGAAACAGATTAGACACTGTCAGCTGATGTGCCAAAGAGAATGTTTATTTGGTCTACAGACCTTCAGACCATGCTACTCAATTGGCCCACTGCCCTGAATAACTTTTCCCTCCAATTTATTTTTACCCATCACTCTTTTGCCAACATCCCTCAAACACCTCCCCTGCCCCCCGGGGACAACGTGACACACAACACGGCTCAAAGGCAACTAAGTGATACAAAGCTCTAGCATGCATGGACATCTAGCACTCTGACTAGTACAGTGTCTGTGACACTTTACCTTGGACTCATTCTCCTTCTGCTAACGTTTCTTTATTGTAACCTGGCACGGCTTTGTATTTCTGTGCAACTGAAAGGCAAGAGCCTGTATACTCACAAAGCATTTTCAGATATTATATACATTATGCATGTGTACATGCGCACACAGAGTGCCTAAATGATTATCACCATCACCTGATGAATACCTAATACAAAAGTCAAAATGGAGCTCTGTCTGCTTTCTAGCTTTTAATTCAATTAGATCCAGGATTAAGTCTGCCCTTGGTATTGCAATACAAAGGGGAAACCTGATCTTGATAAGAAAGGCATTGTTCCAATAACCTATAGAATGGAGCACAGTAATATTTGCAGCAACTTATAAATTTTATATATTTGAACAAAGAGTAAACACCTGCTTTTTTCAAACCACAGGCATATTCCAATCCAAAATAAACAAGTAAAAAAATAGATTACCTCCAAGCAAACAAAACTTCAAGGAGTTTGCACATTTGAAGCATAGAAAGCAATACAGTAATTCAGCTTAGTTCTTTCTGGTTAACAAAAGAACAGATCAACAGCATCTAACATAAACAGCTCCTGAGCCTTACTCCCAATGGTAGGCAGATAATTAGAAATCACCTCAACTGCTTAGGAGCAAACTTCACTATTACTGAAACAAACCACACTCTAAAATACGTTCATTTAATTCAATGTGATTTTATCATTCAAGCTTTTTACTGATCATATCAGTGATTTTATCAGCAGCCATTCTTTATAAAGTAGGTCTCAAATCAAGTGAGGCATTATCTGCTATCACACAACTTTATTTTGGCAATCTAGCTACCAATACAATTATAATGGAGAATCAAAGTAATAACTAAGAAGCGAATAGAGAGACTGTAATCATTAAGACATTGTTCAGTCAGAATGGTTTCTTTAAAATACATTCTTTGTCAAAGCCAAATGGATTTCTGACAAAAAAAAACTCTTAAGAAAACCGCCTTTAACACCAATTTTATGAACTAATCTCAATCTGATACATTTAAATAACAAATTACCAAGTACAGGCAGTCCTCAAATTTACAACACAATTAGTTCCTGACAACTATGTCTTAAGTCAAAATGTTGTAACTCGGAACTGATTTTCCCATAGGAAACAATGTTATAAAGGGGGGGGCGTGTTCCTGAACCAAGGCTTGATACCCAGTTTTCACCAAAA